AATTAGTAAAGTGTTTCACTTTGATTTCCTACCTCTGTCCATTCACATAAAAAATACACAATGATTCTTCTGAATTGACACAGATTACTGCACAAAGAATCATATTCATATATTGATCTCCATGTAAAAAAGCTATACTGTTAAGTGTTCTTACTGACAAAATCTGAAAATAGGAAATTACTAAAATCTTTAATCAAGACAAAAAGTTACAGCACAATTTTATAATCACTCCTCTCCTAAAAGCATGAATAAGCAGTTAAAAACCAAGGGAGGCAGAAATTCTAGATTGGCTGGGTGAGAGGCTCAGCAATCATTTTTTCCAGGGAATTAACCATGAAACATGGTGAAATTTTAAAGTTCTTAGAAATAAGCCTAAGAATATACTGTAAATAGAAAAACATTTACCCAAGAAAATCTACTAAAATTCAGTAAGAATTAGTCTGTGGCACCAGAACTACGATTATCTCCCACCTCCAGCACCTTACCATGTCACTGAAGAGCTAGGGCCAGTTTTACCTCAGTACAGGGACAGGTAGCTAGCCTTTCTCTTTCTTTCCCCACAGCTATACATCATAAAAGCTCTATACCAGGCAGGCACTGCCAAGGGGCTGGGGTTTGCTTTCCTCCCACTCAGAAAGGCTCTAATTGAGAAGGTACAGCCCAAGAATATTGGTGATCTATCTGGTCCTCTTACCATTTTGCTCCAAAAGTGTAAGTTCCATTCTGGAGAGGTAAGCACCCTCTAGTGAAGTTCATACAGCAAGGATGTGTGTCACTCAAGGAGAAGGGGGCTTTCTGTCCCTATATTCTAGGTTGTACAGCTGAGGTTCTGACCAAGGGTGGAAGCAGGTTGAAAGGATTGGCAGCTCTGCTTGCTGCCAGGCACTTTCTTCTAAAAAATGTCTGTCTCACATTATTTTTAACAGCGTAAAGAGAGGTTCATGCTTAAACATACTGCTGAAAACACTGGAAGTTAGATTTCTCAAATAAAACGTTGGGCTAGGGATACAGCTCCGAAGGCCCTGGGTTCAACCTCTATTAGTGAAAAATCGATTAGTAAATCAACAACTGCAAATCCTAGTGACAGGAGGAGGGAGGAAATTTAACTTTGATAATTACCCATATGATGCAAAACATTAAATTTTATACAAAGCATTTACATAGTATACACAGAAATAGGAAGCCCACACACTGAAATCACAAAACAAATACATGTGCAATAACCAAAATGACAGTTTCACTACAGATGCTCAACAGAAGACCTGAGCAGCCAAAAGAAAAAAGGTGCAAACCTGAATACATGACCACTGAAAATAACAAGCCCGAGAAGAAAATAAAAAATAAATAGTGCCTAAAGTGAGAGACCATCAGCTAAACAAAAATATGCCTTATGGTAGCCCCAGAAAAAACAGGGGAAAAGACAAGACATTAAAATATTTGAAGAGGGCCTGGGGATACAGCTCAGCGGCACAAGTGTCTGCCTCGCAAGACTGAGGTCCTGAGTTCAATTCCTAGTATCTAAAACCCCCACAAAACAAAAAACAAAGTATTTGAAGAAACAATGGCCAAAAATTCTCAAACTTCATAACAACATGAATCTACCCATCCAAGCTTAAAGAACTCCAATGAAGATAAACTCAGAGATTCACACAGAGATTTACTGTAATTAAACTTTCAAAGGCCAAAATAAAGAGAAGAATCTTGAAAGCACCAAGAGAAAAGCAACTCATCACATACAAGAGACACAAGTACATTAAAAACTAATTTCTTATCAGAAATCAACAAGGCAGTGCTATGACATACTTAAAATGCTGAACTTTTTAAAAATGTCAAGCAAGAATTGTGTATTCTAACAAAACTATCCTTTCAAACTGAATGAGAAATTAATTAAGACACTTCCAGATGAATAAAAACTGAGTGGAGTTGTCACTAGTAGACCTGGTCTTATAAAACAGGCTAAAGTGAGTCCATTAGGGTGTAATGAAAAGACATTAGCAATCTGAGGTCACGCAACAATATTTAAACTGTTACAACTGTTACATCTGCTACATAGGTAAAATAAAAAGTAGTGCTACTAGGGGTCTTTGTTGTTTGCTTGTTTGTTTTGAGACAGGGCCTAAGTTGCTAAATTGTCCCATCTTGCAGCCTCATCCTACTAGAGTGCTGCTATTTTTAGGTGTGATCAAGCTTAGGTCAGTCTGACTGTATTTTTAGTTTCTAACTCTTCTTTATATCTCCTCCAGGATTTTAAGATGAATGTATAAAAATGACCATAAATCTAGGTTAATGAGTGTATAACATATGAAGCAGTACTTTCTCAAAAGAGCACAAAGGGGTAAAAAGGAGCTGTGCGGGAATAGAGCTTTATACACTATGAAGTTAGTTGTTAATTCAAACTAAATTGTCTTAAATTATCAAGGTTAATTGTAATCCCTAAGGTAGCCACTAAGAAAATGACTAAAATACAGAAAAATAAGTGAGAGGCTATGGGTATAGCTCAGGAGCAGAGTGGTCGGTCCTGTATGCATGAGGCCCTGGGTTTGATCTCAAGAATTCAAACAAAAAAAAAAGTGAGAAAGGAATTAAAAACATACACTACCAAGAAAATGCAAAAGACAGTACTGGAGGAATCAAATACAGGGACATTATATGACATATAATACACAAAGAAAAACCTGAAGTCCTTGCCTATAAGCAATCACTGCAAATATAAATCAAATTAAATGTGCCAACTGAAACAATCTGGAATGAATGAAAAGACTTATCTATACAGTACTCACTTTACCTCCAAAAATACACATGGGTTAAAAGCAAAAGGACCTAAAAAGATACTGCAAGAAACTAAGAGATCTGGGTTGTAATACTAACATACAAAATACTCCTTAAGTCAAAAACTGTTACAAAGGAAAAAGATCATTATATATACATAAAAGGATCAATTCTTGGGGCTGGGGATTTAGCTCAGCGGCAAAAGCACCTGCCTGGCAAGCGCAAGGTCGTGAGTTCAGTTCCCGGTACCGGAAAAAAACAAAAAAAAAAAAAAAAAAGGATCAATTCTTCTAAGATATAAAAATTATAAACATACATATACCAAAAAACAAAGCTTCAAAAATATATGAATCACATATTAACAGAACTGGTAGGAAGAATAGCACTATAACACAGACTGCCATACTCTAGTTTCAATAAAAGAAGGGCATCTAACACAAGCACAGTAAAATATACTGAAAACTTCAACAACACTATAAATCAACTGGAAATACCAAGACACAGATATGATACTCTACCCAACAATAATAGTGGAGTAGATGTCCATCACTATGGGTTAGGCAAACATCTGAGAGATACAACAACAAAGCTTAAGCAACAAAAGAAAAAAAAAAAGACTGAACTGCATCCAAGTTAAAAACTTGTGCATCCAAGATCATCACAAAGCAAAAAAAGGCTAAAGAACAGAAGAGAATATTGATGAATCATTTACAAGATAAGATACAGGATCTAGAGTATAAAAAGAAAACCCAATTTAAAACTTTTAGTAATGAAGGTATACAAATTGCCAGGTGGGATGTGGTGGTGAACATCAGCACTTGGGAGGCTGGGGCAGGAGGATCACCACAAATTCGAGGCCAGCTTGGGCTACACAATGAGTTCAAGGGCAATTTTAACTAGAATCTGTCTCAAAAAACAAAAATAAACTACAATAAAATACCACACTTCACAGTCACAAGGGTGGCTATAATCAAAACCAAAACAAAAACAGACTAGAACAATAATTGGAAAGGACATGAAAAATCTGAACCCAGGTACACTGTTAGTGTAAATGTAAAAGGTGAGCCCTATTAATTATAGCTTGGTAGTTCTTCAAAAATTTAAAAATGAATTATCTATGCTGCACTAATTCCACTCCCAGGTTCAAACCACAAATAAGAGTACCTAAATCCTTTCATATGAGTGTTCACTGCAGCATATTTCACTACTAAAAGGTAGAAAGAACCCAACAGCCCACTGATAAATAGGTAAATTTGTGGAATATTTTTCAATCTTAAAAATCCATGAAATTTGAATACATACATGTGCAAATATGGATAACCTTGCAAACATTATGCTAAGTGAAGTAAGTCAGACACAAAAAAGCCATGTATTAATTTCATTTATATACAATATCCACGATTTATAAATCTATAGAAAGAGAAGCATATTAGTGTTTTCCAAGGATTAGGCAGAGGGGGGAGATGAGGCCTAACTAGTGAGTACAGGGTTGCATTTTGCAGTGATGATAATGTTTTCACTATACACGGTTGGTGACTGTACAAAAGGATGAACGTCCTAATTCCGCTCTTTAAAAGGTTAATTTTAGTCTCTAAAAGGTTGCTGAAAAGTTTCTGGAATTAGTGATAGCTACACAACCTTGTAAATATATCAATGTGAAACTGACATACAATAAAATTGTGAAAAAAAGAATCCTATACTTTAAACAAGTATACTGTAGGTATGTGAATCATATTTCAATAGCGCTATCTTAAAAACAAGAGAAAAATAAACACAATTTCACATTAAAAACCACATTAATATAGCTCAGCAATACAAGCACCTGCCTGGCAAGTACAAGGTCCTCAGTTTGATTCCCACTAACAAAAAAATAAAGTAAAATAAAAACCACATTGTTAATTTTTTGTGTGTGGTATAGCTGGTGAGCATTTTTACATTTTTCTCTAATGTCCTGTTTCAGTGGCATGTAGTTTTCTACCGAGCATATATTATAAGACATTAAAAATTAATACAACATTAGTAATTCCAAAAGATACACAGATATTATTGGGGGAAAAATGTGGGCTGGTAAAAACACATGCAAGGACACATGAAACTACAGTATTCAAGACTAAAAGACTGTGACCAAAACTTAAACCTCACAGTCAAATTTTTTTCTTTTAAAACACAGGTTGTATATCCTTATCTGAAACAATTGAGATCAAAAATACATATTTCTGAAAATGTTCAGGTTGTTTTGCACTTCAGAATACATCCAAATGCATGAGGTAACATGAAATTTGTATTTCATGTACACCTCATGTAAAAAGCCTGAAGGTAACCGCATATGACATTTTTAGTGCATCTGCATTCTGACTATGATCTATCACATTAAGCACAGGTGGGAAATTTTCATGAGAGCAATGAAAAAGTTTCAGATTTTAGAGCATTTTGGATTTCCGATTTTCAGATTAGAAATGCTTGATCTATAAAAGAAAATAAATTCTTACTTTATTGCTTGTGCTCCTGGTCTTTGCACAATTGAAGTACTAAATTCTTCTACTATAATGTCTATGAGTTCAGGCTTTTGGTGATTTTCTCTTAGAACAACAGACATACTTTTCAAGTGAATAAAAATCTTCACAGCTTCAAACTAGAGTATATCCAGAAGAATAAAGTGAAAAAAAAATACATACATAATATGTAAATAAAACATATACTTTTACTTGTATAATCCACTAATTTTAAAAAACCCTACAATATACTTTTACAGAATCAGCACTTTAACACCCAAAAAATAAATAGAATAACTTCTATTCAACTTTGGAAATTAAAATAAATGTAATACTTATGGACCAGAAAAAGATCACAGACAAGTGAGCAGCATATATGTCTGAAAAAAATTAAAATAAGCATACCTAACATTAAATTCAGTGTTATAAAGCAAGAAAACATCTTACTGTTTTTGGCAAAGTTGGATCAACCGCTGTTTCACTATAGCCAATGGCTTCATAGAGTAAAACTTTTTCTTCAGGTGTCAACATTTCTTCAAGAACTACAAATCATAAAGAAGTGCTTCAGGTTATTAATCAATAATAATATAAACATAATTTATCTGCCTTTATAAATAAAATGCAAAGTTTATTTTCTTTTTCTATTACTTTTCAGAAACAATGAATGTTAAGATAGTATTGGCAATTTTAGAAGTTACTCTCCAAAAACATAAATTATCAAGCCTACAAATTCAGCAATACAAATTTCTAAATATTTGTATTAAACAGGAGCTCAAAAAAGGGCTAACTGTACCGGGCAGATAATGGCAATGTACTAAGAAATACATACAAAGTAGGCAGAGGTAGAAGCATAATTTCCTCCCAGTTTACATATGACAAAACAGGTTTAGTGAGCTTAACTAATTTGCCAGGGCCATACTTTCAACAAGAGATATATCTAGGATGTATATTTAAGTGCCAAAGCTATGACCTCAAGCATTTAAGAAATAAAAATCTTTTCAAGAAATAATACCAATTAAAATTTAAGATGGTAATTCCGGGCATGGTAGCGCATGCCTGTAATCCCAGCACTCCGGAGGCTGAGGCAGGAGGATTGTTGGGAGTTCAGGACCAGCCTGGGCTACAAAGTGAGCTCAAGGCCAGCCTGAACTGCATAGAGAGACCCTGTCCCAAAAAGACAAAAAAAATTAAAAAATAAAAATAAATAAAATAAAATTTAAGATGATATACAAGATTATGCAATTTTTGTTATCCCAAATGCATTCACTAAATCTTCTGTATATAAAGCTCTTTTGTAAGCATTATTAAGACTTTAAAAAAATAACATACACATTTAGGGGCTGGGGATTTAGCTCAGCGGCAAAGCGCCTGCCTGGCAAGCGCAAGGTCACGAGTTCGGTTCCCGGTACCGGAGAAAAACAAAAAACAAAAACAAAACAAAAAAAATACACATTTAAATTGCATGTATGTAAATGTCACAGTAAAACCCACTGATCTCTACAAGTAATATGACTAAATAACTATAATTAAAAAAAGAATCATCCAGTCAATCCACAAAAGAGAATAGTTGCTTTAAGCCAAAAAAGAAAAAAAGAATGAAGGCAAAATAAACACATTTTAGACCTTAAAAAAATTTATACAATAAACTTAAACAATACATCATTTTACAAATACACCACACACTTAATTACAGAGAAAATTTTCTATTAAATTAAATTTCACACCTGATAATTAACTACAGTTCTATAAAATGAAATGAACATACTTCCAGGTTTAACATCTGGTTGCTGTTTAGTATGTCTGGTTTTTGATTCTGACCAAGTCCACAGCCAGCTAAACCATCCTTTCTTATCCTCTGGATCTTTTACTCCTTCTTTATAAATCCTGTGTCCAGCTTTCTTTACCTAAAATGATTAAATTTACATATAAATAACAAATTACCCTTTTTTAGCAATCAAAAAAACTTAGTACTCCACTGTATAAAAGAACCACACTTTATCCATTCATCAGGTAATAAACATTTGGATTCTTTCAAAGATTTAGCTATTATAAACTGTGCCAGTATACACATGGATGTGCATATACTGCTGTGGTATGATGCTTTTAATTCTTTGGGGAAGATACTAAGAAGGGGAATGGCAAGGTCGAATGGAACCACTGCTGTTATTTTTTTTAAGGAATTTACACACTGATTTCCACAGTGGTTGCAAACGTCTATACTCCCACCAACAGTGCAGAAGGGTTCATTTTTCCTCATAGCCCCGCCAGCATTTGTAAGGTTGATTTCTTGATAGCAGTCATTTCTCTGGACATCAAATCCATTTTAATTTGCATCTCTCAAATGACCAGTGATATTGAACATTTTTCATATAATTATTTGCCATTTTTACTTCGTGTGAGAAGTGGCTATTCTTTTTAGATGCCCATTTTTAGATTGGGTCTTTAAATATAGAGAGTCTGATTTTTTTGAGTTCTTTATAAATTCTAGATACTACTCCTTTGTCTGAGAACAGCTGTCAAATTTTTTTTTTCCACACTGTGGGTTGTCTCTTCACTGTCGGTGGTTTCTCTTGCTGTGCAAAACCTTTTTAATTAAGATGAGATCCCAGTTGTTGATTCTTTGTGGTATTTCCTGCACAATCAGGGTTTTGTTCATAATGTCTTTGCCTACACCAATGTCTTCGAGAGTTTTACCTATTCTATCTTCCAAAAGATTTAGTTTTTCTGCTTTAATATTGAGATCTCTGATCCATTTCAATTTCAGTGTAGTACATGGTGAAAGATACATGTCTAGCTTTAATCTTCAACATGTGGAAAAAGTTTTACCAGAATCTTTCGGGTTTTGGGTTTTTTTTGGTTTTTTTTTTTCCCCCAGTACCAGGAATCAAACTCATGACCTTGCACTTGCCAGGCAGGCACTGTACCACTGAGTTAAATCCCAGTCCCAACCAGCATCTTTTATTAAACATTTTTCTTTGAAGGTGTTTGGCTCCTTTGTCAAAGATAAGGTGGCTGAGTATGTCTGGAATTGTTTCTGCATCTTCTAATCTGTTACACTAATCTTCCAGTTTTTTTTTTTAACCAGTATCATACTGTTTTTAATCACAGTAGCTCTGTAATATAATATGAAGTCAGGGGCTGTGATGCCCGCTGCCTTGCCTTTGCTGCCCAGGACTAGGTCTCTTCTGGTTCCAAATGAGTTTCTAACTGTGTGAGACATGCTTTTATACAATGGAGTATTATTCAGCCACAAAGAAGGATACACTTGATACGTTTCTAGGTAAATGGATGCGCCCTGAGACCATACTCTTAAGTGAAATATGCATAAATAACTGGGCGTGGTGGCGCACACCTGTAACCCCAGCACTCAGGGAAGCTGAGTCAGGAGAATCGTTGCAAGTTCGAGGCCAGCCTGGGATACAAAGTGAGTTCAAGACCAGCCTGAACTGCCCAGTGAGACCCTGTCTCAAAATGACCAAAAAAAAAAAAGTGTAAGTAACTCAGTATTTCTATGGTGTGAGATAAGTAACAACCAAATTGTGTAACAGATATTGTGAAATAGGAAGAAAATGTTCAAATGGAAAGAGGAAGCAGGAAAAGGGAAGGGAGAAAGGAAGGAAGGGAAAGGAAAAAATGGAAACAAAGCTTTTGTAAATAAAGAGGGAAAGAGAAATGAAGGGAGGGCAGGAGAATGGGGGAAAAAGAAATCAAGTTATATCATGTACAGGTCCACATTCCCTATGATGAACATGATTGTTATGTATACCTAAAATGTATCAATACACTTAGTTAAAAAAAAGAACAAGTGTGTATTTCCACAATTATCCACCTAAGTGACTGAACCTAAACAAGATACACAGACAACTGAACACAGTAACTGCAATGTCAGCCAAAAGAATTTCTGATTGCCACATAGTTCTCCCTACTGTCTTACCAACATAGTAATGGGTAAGGAAAATAACTAACTTTTCACCTTCATATGAACTATGAATATATGTTAAGTCCAATTATTACTAAATTTTCTTCTACAAAAACTTGTCTGATTTAAATCGATATGGCAAAGATTAACTCCAATTTTCTTATAACACAAAAGTAAGTTTGAACCCTTTGAAGGAAACAGTATTTTACAGCATGATATTGATAACATCACAACATCTGTCATAAAATTTAGATTTATTCTTAATAACTGAATGATATCTGAAATTACCTCAACTTCTGCCTGTTGTCTAGCTATAGTTATATTAAAGACATCCAGGGTTTTCTCCAATTCCTGAAAATATAAATGAAAATGTTAACTTCACATAATTATATGTATATAATGTATCAGAGTAACGAAACAGGACAGGAAGCAGAAAATAACATCCAATCAATATAAGATATGTTAAATTCTGAAAGGCAGTGTCTATATAAACAGCTTGAAAATTACTAGAACAGAGTAGCATTTTGAACAAAGAAACTATACCTATCATGCATACAAGAATTACAACTATAAACAGAATTACAACCACATAGTGAAAGATATACATGTATTTTACCATACATGTATTTTAAAATTACTTTTACTTAGGTTTTAACTATAGCTAAGTGTAAACAAGGTGTCATTTTTAACTAAAAAGGTAACTATAAATTCCTCACAGCATGTGTACAGTTGAGATGTCATCATCTGGATATTCCAAGTAGAACTAGACAGACTTAAGACTTGTTTTTAACTTATTCACTTTCCAAAGATGTTTGGGCTATTGAAATAAACAGATAAGCTCAATCTTTCATCATACCTACTCATCTTTATGATTACTTTCAAGTTTCATGCTCAAATCATTTTTTACTAGTAACTGGAAATCCGTCCTAGATTCGGAATCGTTACATTAATTTCAAGACTGTCTCTCTAAATAAAATAGTCCCTTTTAAAATACACCATAATCCTAAAAGATAAGACTAACATAATAATACCTCAAGATAGCAGACAATTAAATACAAAGTTGCTAAAGACAGCACAAGAACTAAGAGAGAAAGCTACTTATGGACAGAAAGTTCAGGGAAGCTTATGCAAGACATAGGATTTAAGCACAGAAAAGTTCATGTAACAAATGGAATTTAAACAGAACTTTGGGGACCAGAAAAACTGAGATAGCAGAAAGACAAAGCATATTTCTGCATAGGCACATCTATAACAACTAATACTGCACATACAGAAGACAGAAAACTTAATGTACAGTCAGACGATAACAGCAGAAATGGGCTGACACCAGAGAATTTACAGGTTTGAAATCAACAAGAAATTTGGAAAGGTTGTAGCAAACACTTTTTAGGCTTTGAGGTTAAGAATGCTATAAAATGAAGCTTCAAGTTTGTATGTGCATGAACCCAAATTCCTTAAGATTGAAAATACTCTACTAAATTTTAAAAGTTAAACAGAATTTCACCAGAAATATTAAATGAGTAAATAAGAGCACAAAAATGTCTAAATAAAAAAGAAAACATGGTCAGTAAAAATTACAATAATTAGCGTTACTCAATAAAGACTGAGAAATAATACAGTACAAAATACTCAATCACAGTTCTTTAATGCTAACCTCCAAAGGCATGAGAATTTCACCAGATGGCTTCTTACTTGTTAGCTTCCGTTTATACAATTCTTTATACTGCTTCATTTTTTGTCTGTGTTCGCTAATATGCTTCCAGGACCACATTCGTAATCTGGGGCAAACATTTACTTCAAGAACACCACGTACAGCATACTCCCACCTAGTTTAAAAAAGAAGAAGAAAAAGAGGAACTCCACACTTAACACTCTCAGACCAACAATGTAAACCCTGAAAGTATGCATAACCATACAGAGGCTAGAAAAATCATGTATTATCTGAACCCGTACTTTTCCCTACCCCTGCCTGTATGACAATCCATTGTTAACTTGTTTCCAAAGTGAAAATAAACAAAATTATTGAATTTTGTTTAGAACAGCACAGCTCTATATAAGAACTATTAAAGCATTATCTCACAACATGTTATTCACTTGAGTAGAAAAAAAAAAACTGACAAGTAATTGCAACTTCAAATAACTACACAATAGCTTAAGAACTGGAATAGGATTTTTGAATTTTTAAGTACACACTGGATAGGTTCCTATAACTTTTCCAGGTTTTAAAACAGAAGTTTAGTACTAAAAGCTTAATGAATCTGATAGAAAAGCGTGAAGGAAGAAGACAAGTGGTGGTGGGGAATGATGGAAAATAAACCGAGATATAGTTTAACAGTTGGGAAACAACTAATTCTTATACATAACTGAAAACTACGATATTTCCGTATCCCCAGTTATAAATTGTTATGAAGAATCCCTTGAGTCAATTCTCATTACAATCAGTAAAAGCAGTTACATACATTGCTAGCCACAAATCACATACTCTTCATCAGACCATGAAGAGTGTATCTATTATGGTTTAGATGTAAATGTCCCCCAAAAGTCTCATGTTGCTGGAAGGTGACCCAGAAAGGAATGTTTCTGGTCCTGCCTCTGTTCTCTGATTCCCGGCTGGCTACCATGAGGTGAACAGCAGCTTTCCTCTCCCACACCCTTGCACCACGCCTTTTCTGCCTTGGAGCCAGTCAACTGTAGACTGAACCCACTATAATCTGTGAGCCAAATTTACCTCCCTCCCCTCCTTTAAGTTGTGGGCAGCAAGTATTTTGTCTTAGCGACAGAAAGTTGTTAAACAGTATCTTCAAATTTTATTGAACTTATTTTCATATCCTAATCTTTAAAAGTAAAAACCTTAAGGTATTTTACCATTCCTTGGCATGGTAGTGAAGAGGCACATCAGGTCTGAACTTCCTATAAGGCACATTTTGTTTCATCATGTCAACTGACTCAAGAAGCTCCACAACACTGAAATACTAAAGAATGGAAAAATTAAAACTCTTGAATACTTTAAAATTTTGTTCAATTGTTAAAGAAAAAAATCAAATTATCAAGTTTTAAAAGAAGTGTTACCATACAACATGAATTTTAGAAAAATACTTAAAACCTTAGTTTCATTTAATTAAATTTTAATTTTAAAAATGTAAAATTCATCAAATTTAAAATTTCATCAAACAAAATCACCTGTGGTTTATTAAATTCAATTGCTATTTTATGTAACTCAACTTCCAAGTTTATTTTGGGGTCAGAAAAGTCAAAATCTGATCGGCGATTCATCTGGAGCTTGGCATTAGCAGATATGGGGCGAAATACTGGAAAATAACAAAATAAAAATATTAAATAAAGCTATATTTCAAGTCTTAAGCACTAAAATGATCAAGCTGCAAACACTGACTTTCATTTCTTTTATGCCCTCTACACTTCTCAAATGTCCACATTGCCATGATTTGGTGATATGAATTGTTCCTTAATTAGTGGAGATTTTTATTTTTTCATACTTCTAATTCTTGTGTTTTGTAAGTGAAATTAAAGAGTAACTGAACTCCTTAAAACACCAAAATAACCCTTAAAATCAGGAACATTCACTTTAAAAGGAAAGAATCCAATAAAATGGTTTTAATAAAAGTATACTGTTTGAGAATGAATATTACAAATGAGGAAAAGTTTAAATTTAACTTCCATTTTATATGACATTATTTCTAAATTCAGTTTCTCTTGTGTCTACCTGTTCCTCCTTTCCATTTTTAATAAAAGGGAGAGAAGACAATATTGTACCCAGGACTGTCTGCTTGGCTCAACTGATAGTGCTCCACAGAGGGAGACCAATAATAGACTCTAGACAGAGATTAAGCATTAAATTATAGGCTAATTTGTGTATGAATTCCATGTACTCTTTTGAATTATCTCAAAGGACTAGCACTTAACTTTTTACACCTTAAGGATTGAAAAATATTTACCTGAATATAATCACTGACCTGCCACCTTTTCTCTATCCTTCACCTCTGCTTCAGGTCCTTAGTTCTCTACTCTGCTAAAAATCCATCATCATTTTCTTCTTACTGTTTTGAAGGCCTATATTTTTAGTTTATTTTTTAACTAAGACACAAACACAAATATTGTACCTACTAATGGGGTATCACGCACTGTTTTGATACACATATGCATTGCTCTAATTCAGATGCCCTGGGATAAGCCCTAAAAATGTATGTTTCTAACCATTTCCCAAGTAATGCTACTAGTCAGATCCATATTTTAGGAATAGTACCGTAGTTGATTTATTCCACGCTCTCCTACATGTCTATCAATAAGCTCTTCAAAAAACCTTCAACCCGAGGCTAAAATAAATAAACTCAGAAGAGAAATTTCATGACCTTCTATTGCCATATCTACTGATCTAGCCAATAGTAGGACTTCTATAATTAAACTATATCTTATAGATGAACTGCCCATGTTCTTGTCTGCAATAAAACTCCCTACCTGTACATTAAACACCAATCCTTTTTCACTTGCACTGATCCAGAAATTTTCCCATCTCTCCTGAACCATTAGTTTTTCATGTTGTACTGGATCATTCCCAGCTCAACTTACAAATATGCTGGTATTTCTCCCATTAAATATACAGGTAGGAAGAGAAAAACAGACACCCCTTTCAGACCCTTTTCCCTCCCTAGTAAGTATCCCAATTATCAATTTATTGATAATTGATTCTCTGAACTCCAAATTCACCCTTTATTATCTTCTATGAAAAACACTTTCAGACTCTTCAAATAGTTTTTCCTGTACCAGCTAGTATAACATTAAGCTTTAAAATACAAAACTCTGTAAAGACACCACAGTTACACTATTTCCAGCGTACTCGTCCAACAAGCTTCTGCAGAGGCATGGCTCTCTGACACCCAGCTTGTACACAACAGGTGATGATTTCTCTAATATCTGGCTCCTATAGCATGAAGAACATCTTCAACACCACCTTCTGCAGTGTACAGCAGCTAGCTGCAGCCCACAACTCCCCCAGTACCCTGCTCAGGAAGTTCTATAGTGAAATACACACAAGGACACACCACTCCATGAGGCTCAGTAAAGGAACAATTTCCACAATATTACAGAAGGTGACTTTCCACCAAGTTTTAACAGCACTACGTTAGACTTTCCTGCCATTCAGTGAGCCAAGCCTGTCTTCTCCAACAAGGTCTAGATCTCAGGTCTGAGGGAAGGGACTTTCTTCTTTAGGTGTTTCTTCTTAACCAAAGATAGGGGCTGTTCCTTTTTCTTACTGTTTCTATACTCTTTAACATTTTCTCTTTTTACTAGCATTCCCCGCTCATTGTTAGAAATTCTTTATATTAATCATTTCCTGTTCAAATTACTACGCAATTCTTTTTCCTCATCAGACCCTAACATAGCATAAAATGACTACAAAGCAAAAGAGAAATAAGTCAAACCTAAAGTAATAAAGTTGAGAATCATTAACATGCAAAACAAATAACTCATCTGCTCACTTCCTAAAATAATTAAGAAAATGAAACGAAATTTTAAAAAATGAGAATAACATTTTAAGAGTGAGCACAAGATGCCCAAACATGGTAGTACATGCCTGTAATCCCAGCTCTCCAGAGACTGAAGCAGAAGAACTGATGCAAGTTCAAGGCCAGCCTGGGCTACACAGTGAGTTCAGCTTGAACTACATATAGCAAGACCATGTTTCAACCCTCCCCCTCAAAAAAAGTAAGCACAAAGTGGTGCGGGGTGCAGTTCAAAGGTACAGCACTTGCCTAGAATGCATGGTGTTCCTCAGTAACAAACACACACACAATATAAGGGTAATAAGGACACCCCCCATAGCTTTGAAATATCGCCAAAAGCTCCCCCACAATAAACTATATAGAAAAGGACAGAGTGTTACCAGCAATGTTAATGTAAACTTTATACTGATTGTTTCTAATCAAATTCCTTATTTTATGGAATATGCTTACCAAAATCATAACCTCCTGGAATGATTTTTTTATTGACAATGCCATTCTTCAAGCGGTCCTATTAAAAGACAAATTGCTTTTATTTATATTCATGCCAACATACCTTTATTCTATAGAATTCTATTACCTGTAAGATATGTTCAAAAGCAATTCTCAAAAAATAAACTCAAACTTAGAGAACTTAGCTATGGCAAAATATTAAAGTGATTAAACATTAAACTATACAAAAGAATGCTCTGGCACCTATGAAGATGTGTTTGTAAACATGCCCATTTGCGCAACTCACTATTTCTGTAAATACTAATGAATTTTTCCTAGAAAACAATGCTGAGTCTAACATTTAATTACTGACAAAGAATTATGCCTTACACAAAATACAACACCAATATATAGATACACATATCAAAAGAACTTACCAATGATTCATCATAATCATGAAGATAAAACATCTGAGAATTCACATTCCAATAGGCAAAAAGGTTATCCAATCGAATTAACTGAAAGTAAATCAAATTTATTACATGTATCATCTTCTTGAAAGCATTTTTAACATATGCTGTTTTCAGAAGTCTCACGTAATTAAGTGAGCCATAGCAGAGTTCAGCAAATAAACACAACTCACAAAAATTTGTATCTATGCATACATTATCATTTGTCTTTCTTTTTGTAAAAGACATTTTCATCAATTCTAAGGGTATTTATTTATTTTACCTTACGAACTAGTTTCTCAGTTTCATCATGTAAACATGGAACCCAGTTTTGATCAGTTGTCTGAAAAGGAAAAAAAGAACAGCAGTAAAAAGATCATTACATTTAAAATGCCAATGGAAGTCCAATTTCTTACAGACATACACAAATGTGCAGTATTACTAACAATACCCTAAGACCAATTTCCCATGAAATGTCTTTGAAAATGTATCATTCAAAGATTAAATGACCACAAAAACATCTTTGCTTTCAAAAAGCTCACTGGTGTTCAAAAAACAAAGAAACAAGCAATATCATAGTTAAGTTTCGTAAAGTACCTGCATGCTGAGATTTTGAAGGGAAATACCAAAAGACAGTGGCTTGTCTCGATTTGTAATCTGAAGAGGAAAAAAATAAACCTTACTCAAATTTTATTTAGCATCTGGACAAAATTCACTTTATAGAAATCCTCCACTTGCTGAGAAATATCCTATTTCAAATATGCAAAAACAGTTTACAACTCTTCCAATTAACTTCTCTCCTATATTCTTCCTAAAGGAAATTGAAGTACTAAATATTAATGTATTAGTGTTGTATTATATTACTATATTTTCAGTTTATACAGTTATAGAAAAGACCGACACTCATAATACTACAAAGTAAATAATTATGTTTAAGAGAGCTGGAGAGGGGCCAGGCGCGGCTGACATGGAGGGTCAGCACTGGCAGCCGCTGGAGGCCAACCCCGAGGTTACCAACCAGTTTCTCAAACAATTAGGTCTATATCCTAACTGGCAATTTGTTGATGTATATGGAACGGATCCTGAACTCCTTAGCATGGTACCAAGACCAGTCTGTGCAGTGTTACTTCTCTTCCCTATTACCGAAAAGTATGAAGTATTCAGAACAGAAGAGGAAGAAAAAATAAAATCTCAGGGACAGGATGTTACAGCATCAGTGTACTTCATGAAGCAAACCTTCAACGACGCCTGTGGAACAATTGGACTGATCCACGCCTATTGCGAACAATAAAGACAAAACGCACTTTGAATCTGGATCAACCTTGAAAAAATTCCTGGAGGAGTCTGTGTCAATGAGCCCTGAAGAACGAACCAGATACCTGGAGAACTATGACGCTATTCAAGTTACTCCTGAGACCAGTGCTCATGAAAGTCAGACTGAGGCACCAAATATAGATGAAAAAGTAGACCTTCATTTTACTGCATTAGTGCATGTAGATGGGCATCTCTATGAATTAGATGGGCGGAAACCATTTCCAATTAACCATGGGAAAACTAGTGATGAGACTTTAGTAGAGGATGCCATAGAAGTTTGCAAGAAGTTTATGGAACATGACCCTGATGTATTAAGATTTAACGCAATTGCTCTTTCTGCTGTGTAGACTGCCAATGGAAACACTAAATATTGTATTATTTGCAACAGAAGTTAAATTTCCACTGCCATACACTAACTCAAAAATTTTGATATTTTCATTAACTTGACTGATTAAACTTTATGTGAGTTTAAAAAAAAAGAGAGAACAATGAACTATTTAACATCAAACAAGTCTACCTCTACTGATTCATAAACCCATGCTCTTCCCAGAAGGTAAAAATAGCATTTTTAAAATGCATAACTGAAATGTATAAATGCCAAGGCATCTTCCTTTCTGATCTGAAGTTTGAACAACTTAAATTAAGCACCTGCTACTAAGAACTACAAATCACAACTACAAGTATAAAAGAGAAAAATCATGTCATCTCTCCCTCCACCTCCCCACAGTCTAATTGGCTGGTCATTGTACAAAGTGCCAATAAACTATAAAATAATTTACACATGTATATTTTTAAAATCACATAGTAAGATACTTACATCATCTTCATAACGGATATGAATGTTGGAAATTTTCACTTGAAGATTTTTTATGATCTGAGTGACTAATTTTTCTGCAAAAGTGTCCTGCTTCTCAGTCTGATGTTGTTCTACAATTGCAAATATTCCTTTTAACTTCAATGAAATATACACCCTATAATATCCATATATTGAAGTAACATATTCCCTTGTTAAAGAAAAATATATACATATTTTTAAATAGAATATTAATAGCCTGTTTTCCAAACTCTTTCATACCAAGACTTTAAAAAGCAACTGAATGCACCAATTTTCAAAAGCTAGCTTCTTGTTCAAAAAAAGTAATGCACTATGTAAAATTTATTGACGCTCAATTTTATAATTAATCTATTAACTATGCCTAAGTATATAAAGATATGAGAAACAATATTAAGAATTACAATAGGCATATGTAAGAAAAGCCAGTAAGAGCAGCAAAGTAAGAATTTCCCATAAAAATTACTAATATCTTTGTAAGTTATCTTTGCTCCGATGTACAAAGTATTTGAACATAGTATGTTCCTCCCTCAATGATATAAAATAGGAAAATAGTTTCCTGTCTCCTTTCAAACAAGGATGCAAACAGTTCATGTGCCATTTTTAAGAAAATATTATCTCCACTTTCAACATTTTCCACAACAGAAATTTTCCAGGAACATCAGACAGTACCAGCATGCCACACAGCAGCCACATGGTCAGTGCTGGCAGAGCCCTCCTTTGGGGACAGTAGGGACACTGGAGTAGCACATGGAGGGTGGGGTGCCCCACCTGCTTATGCACTTATGCTGAGGCTGAGGCTGACTGCTGTGGGGGTGCCCTGTGCTCACAGGGTGTTGAAGGGGCTTAGCTCATGTTCAAATATGGTTCCATCAGCCCCTAACTCACTGGGGCCTTCACTCTGTGACCCTACGTGACAAGCAGCCTCTGTTGTCAGGGGAGTCAGAACTGGGTTTCTGTCCATCAAGGTACAGCTAGCCAGCACTTGATTCACACTGGACATGGGGGGCATGTGCCTACACCACAGTAATTCTGCACATCTAAATGCCAGTGTGTACATATGTGACTCCTTCTCTGGGACAGATCCCTTTCTGGCTGGTGACACTGCTAAGGGAGGTCACGAGGATAGTGGACTGCAGAGGCTGACTGCCACTGTGCCCTAGTCTGCAGCAGGCTGGTGGATTTCCCATTCAGGCAGATTACTGCTGTCTCTGTTAGGTTTTCTGTCTTCGTCCAGAACAGTTGCTGCATCCCAGACAACTCATAACTGCTTCTCCATGGCACAGTGAGGCTCCTTGCTACTGAGCTTAAATGCGGGAGCTCAGCCCTTCACAAGTTTGTCCTTTCTTGCTGTGGGAACATCCTGTGCTTGTTAAGCTGTGCTCCTCTGGCTACTTCCTGAGGGGCTTCTGTTTTTGTCCTTGATTCTAGTTTGTGTTTAAGGACAGAAGACTGAAAGAAGCAGAGCTAAGAAACCACAATGCCTTATGTGAGTTCCAGGTTAAGCACAGCTGCTGCAATGAGAGGCAGAAATCATGGTACATGGAGAGAACAGTCCAGAGACACAGTTCCAGTATGCACTACATCCTTTGAGTCTTTTGCAAAACACCTCTCTGCACATGTCTAGGGTGAAACTCCAGGACGCAGACCATAAACATGGTCCAGGCTGCTGCAAAGGTGCTATCCAAATGCCCATAAGAAAGGAGACCTTTGAATTGTGTCCAACTAGAATCTAGATTTCATGGAACCACTGGCACTACCAGAGAAGACTCCCAGAGTGTCAAACCTTTACATCAATTTGGAAAGTTAAGACTTCAAGCAAAGCTATGTCCACCATGAGGAAACTTAAAAACAAGCTCAGAAGGATCAACATGATCAATAAGGAGTTTGACATCTGCTAAACCAAACTCTAACACTGTGTTTGTGTATACTGCATGTGGGGGTGGGTAGATGGGGCATACTGGGGATTGAAGCTAAGGCCTTCACACTGAGCTACATCCAAGCCTGCTAAACTGCTCAGGCTAGAGTCAAACTTAGGATTCTCATGACTGAGCCTCCCAAATGTGCATCACCACTCCTGGCTCTTCAGCATTCTTGACAGAAAGGAAGCGAAGGTAAACTCTCAGTGATAACGGCATTCACAGAGCTGCAATGAATCTAACATCTCTGGAAATGCAGGGAAGTTCTGAACTGTTAAGCCTCTCTGGGAGGAAAAAGCAGCCAATAAAAACAGACCAACAAATACATACAAGATGGAATTAGTAGACACAGATATTAAAATTCCATTGTAAACATTATAAACATGCTCAATCATTTAATGGAAACCATGTAAGAAATAAAAACCATAAAAAATGACTGTGTGTGCAGCAAACAACATTATCAACAGAGTAGAAAGGCAGCCCATAGGGTGGGGAGATATTTGTAAATCATTTACCTGATGTGGAATTAACATTCATTAATACACAAAGAACTGTGTAACTCAACAGTGACAAAGAAAGAGAACCTGGGTAAAAATGAGCAAAGAACTTCAATAGACATTTCTCCAAAAGAAGATGCACAAATGACCAGTAGGCACACAAAAAAAATTTAACATCAATGATCATCAGAGAAATGCAAATCAAAACCAGGATGCATGCAATACCATTTATCCATTAGGAGGGCTATTCTCAAAATAATACATAACAAAGATGTGGAGAAACTGGATCCCTTATGAGTTGCTGGTTGAATGCAAAAGGTACAGCCACTCTGGGAACAGAACGGTGGTTCCTTAAAAGTTGAACGAAGAATTACCACATGATCCAGCAATTGCACTTTTGAGCATATACTAAGGAAAATCAAAAGCTAGAACTCAAACAGATGTTTGTATGTGCATGTTAGTAGCAACATTATTCACAACAGCTAAAAGGTGGAAGCAACCCAGCTGTCCATCAACAGACGAAGGAATAAACAAAATGTGATATATACACACGATGGAATATTAGACTTTGAAAGCAAGTCTGACACATCATGCCATGAATGAATAACGAAGGCACTACATTAAGTGAAAAAAGGACCTACAGATAGACAATTTTCTAAGATTCCACCTATAGGAGGTATCTACACTGACCCAGTTCACAGACAGGAAGTGAAATAATGTTCTCCATGGGAATGGAGGTATTACATAGGCTTATCATCTGGATGTTCCCCTAAAGCCTCATGCAATCACAGGCAGGACCTTTGGAAGATGACTGGGTCACAGAACCATTATAGCTGGCTTGCTGGTAGGAAGTGGGGTCTGGCTGGAAGAAGCAGGTCTCTGTGGGAATAACCTGTTAGGTTATATCTCCCTTCCAGGCTCCTCCCTTCCTGCTCTGCTTACTGGCTGCTATGCCATGAGCAGCTCTCCTCTACCATGCTGTCCTGCCTCGGAGCCAGCCAACTACAGTCTGAAATGTGAGCCAAAATATATGTCTTTGTCTTAAAAAAAATTATAATTTCTTTAAAATAAAGCCTTTGATAGCTCCTAGTTACTACGTCTTCCCTTTTTAAAAGTGCCAATGAAAGTCCTATCTTTTCTAGTACCAGTCCTCCATTAGTATTCTTAGTCTTCTCTATAGGCAATACACATAGTCCCTTTCTTCAAATAATCTGTATCCCCTAATGCAGCTGGTCCTAGAGACCTTAGATAATGAAAATTAACAAAGATATCAAACATATGTACTACAAATGAGTTAAGTGAATATATTTAAATATAAAAGGACCACATTATTAAGTAAAATAAGCAACAAAATAGAAGCTCTTTGAATCCCATCAGTAAATATAAAGTCCTTTTTTCCTATAAATTTGGTCACTTCTGAGGTGATCAATGAAAGATGTGTTAGGATTAATTTCTTCATCTTCATCGTACCTGACATTTTGTCAGGATTTGATATACTGTTAGCTTCTTAATTTAAAACAGCTTTTCACCCATGGAACCAGAAACTACAAATTTCCTCCTATTCTCTGGCCACTCATTTTTTGCTATTGTTTTGTCTATTCTCCTTTTCTATACAAACTATGGATGTTGGCTTTCCTGAAGGCACACTCCTACAAATGTTTCTTTTGCCAGGGATACAGCTCAGCAGCACAAGTGCCTGTCTGGCAAGCACAAAGTCCTGAGTTTGATTCCCGGTACCCTGCAAAAACTGTTTCTCTTATTCTATATTGCTGCTGTAAGGAATCTCATCCATATCTTACAGTCTAAACCAGTGGTGGCAAACCTATAGTATGCGTGCTGCAACAGTCACACAGAGCCCTCTTTGTTGGAACACGAATCAAGTGTATGAGTTGTTTGTTCTAAATATCTCAGTATTGAGGTTTAACTACAGTATTGGCACTTTGTGAAAAATAAGTGAGTTACGGGTTGTAGTTTGGGCATTTGGTCTCTAAAAGGTTTGCCTCCACTGGTCTGAACTATCACCTAATTCATAATTTTCAAATGAATACTCAATAAAGCAGGAAATGAAATCAAGTGCAGAGAATCTGGCATATTCAGTAAACTGCCAAGTAGTTTAATATGGCTAGAAGTTTGGGAACCAGATATGAGGCTGGAGAGATAGACAGGATTCATATCATGAGAGCTTTTACAGCTCTTGCTGAAGTACTTAAACTTAATGAATTTCAAGCATGACTGAACATTTATATTTTTGAGCTGGGCATGGTTGCACATGTGAGTAATTCCAGGAGATGGGAGCTAAGGCAGGATTCCAAGAGTTCAGGGACAGGCTGGGCTACAGAGTGCATTCTAGACCAGCCTGAACTATTTAGCAAAACTTCTGTTTCCAAAAAAAAAAAAGAAGAAATAAAAACATATTATATTTTAGACAATGTATCCACAGGATGGACTTCTGATGAAACATTGCAGATTGCATGCATTTTTCTATTCTTCAGTAAAACTGCAGTAAAGCAAAAAATAAGGGTTAAAAAGACATGGATAAATCTCTAAAGTGAAAGAAAGAAGATAGGAAAAAGAATATATGAAGAAGCAATGAGAATTTAGAAACAAAAACATATGGCCTTAGCCAAAAAAGATAAGAAAATCCTCAATGAACATACATGGAGATGCCACTGAAACCCAAGATCAGTTAGAAAATCTAGCCATGGAAAGGTTTAAGAACTTGAGACTCCCCAAAACAAAAATGGCCATCAGTGAGTATGGTGAACGGAGACATAATGTACGAACTGGTTTAAAGTTTATAAAATGAGCAATTGAACTTCTAGTATTCCTCTCTCCCAAGCCAATAGCCAAACTACTGCAAGCACTTACCATATTAAGCCCGGCGTGATAGCACACACCAGTAATTCCAGCAGTAGGAAGATTAAAGCAGAAGGATCGCTGTTGAGTTCCAGGCCAGCCTGTGCTACATACCAAATTCAAGGCCAGCCTGAACTGCATAGAGAGACCCAGTCTCAAAGAAGATAACTGACCTATCATGCTCCAGATTCTTAAAATATAGTACATGTGGGAAAGAGAGGTCCAAAGGTCTGGTTGACAGCTGTGGCAGAAAGGCGAGTCTGAGCAAACTCAGACTCTTCGGCAAACCGAGTAAATGCCCTGCCTAGGCTGTCCCGCTCTGACCTCTTGCTTCCACACAGCCCCCGGCCAAAAGTACTGCCTCCAAACTACACCCCTGACCCGCCTCCACTGCCACGCCTCTAGCCTACTCTATAAATGCCTGCTACTTCCACAATAAAGTGGATCTGCGCCATCAGCCTGGTCTCTGGTATCCTCTTTCTTCACCATCGCTGCTTACCACGGGCCCAGGTCCCTAGACCCTAGGAGGTTCAACCTCAAGTACACAGAGGGAAAAGGCAAGTCCCATACCAAAACAAAAATTAAATACAAGTTTACATAATAAAGTCACACCCACACCCACCTACCTTTACCAAGCAAAAATCAAAGTTGAGCTAAAAACTATATAGTTAGAGTATAATACGTAGTTAGAGTATACCACTAGGCTCAGTAGTAAACATGATACTACTTGTTTTTTTTTTTTTTTTTTTTTGGTTTTTCTCCGGTACCGAGAACCGAACTCACGACCTTGCGCTTGCCAGGCAGGCGCTTTGCCGCTGAGCTAAATCCCCAGCCCCCATGATACTACTTGGTCAACCTTCTGAGCCCATCATAAAAGGAAACACTTCCCATAAATATTTAATAAACCAAGTAATGGAGCTGTGCACATTTTATGTAGCAATGATAGTTCTGGAGGGAGTAGGGTCCAAGGCTGAGTCAGGGAACTAATTTTGGCATTTTTTAAAATTATGAGTCTTGTTTAGTTTTTAAAGCTGTATTACTTTGACAAAATAAAAATAATTTTAAAATAAACAAGTTTAGCAGATATAGCAAGGAGAAGACTGGGGTTAAGGATGAATGACTACCTACAAGTTGAAAGAAATATGACAAAGAAAACAGAATTACATGTGGTATTGCCAGAGACTGTGTTAAAGCTCCACTAATGTTTGTTAACAGGAAAAATAATGAGTTTTATTTTTCAGCTAAAAAATGAATTAATATAGGACAAGCATACTGAAGTCAACATACATATAATTTTAAAATGCTTAACTATTCAATGAAGATAACTTGATGAAGAAGGTGACTTTATGTTTTAAAATAAGAACAGGCTACAATACACTTACAAACTAAAGACCAACTAGGGGAAAAAGTTAGAGTCAGAATGTAAAAAGTGGCTAATGATGGTGACCAAGAACAGGTGAAAAGAAATTAGATTTCTAAGGGTCACTTTTTCCACAATGAAAAAGTAACTGTGGTAACTGTAGGTTAATGTGGTGGACTGACAACTGGTAGTCAATTTGTAACACCCAGCTGAACTGAACCAGCATGGTGCTATGTGTGCTCAGAGGTCTACCTGAGGATTGTTGCCAGTAGCATAAGAGACAGAACTAGAGAGGAAGAAGTTTAAAGGTGTTGGGAAGCTATCAGGGAGCTGCTGGTTCTCTTGAGCTATTCCGCTGGAAGATGCTGTCATGCTGGCTTTCCTGATGAACTTGGCTGTTCTCATCAGAGGAAGAGCTCAGGATCTCGTTGCCACTGAGAATGGCTACGGTTCATTTTGGGGGAGCTCTAGTTCTCACTTTGAGCATCGCTTCCTGGCTCTGGAGGAGAAGGTAGTGCACTACTCCACTTCCTGGAGCAGCTTGTTGAGTTGGCTTTTGTCATGGGAAGTCAGCTTCCCTCATCATCAGAGGAGCTTGGGACCTCACTGTTGCTGAGGATGGCTGTGGTACTTTTTGGGGGAGCTCTGGTTCTTACTTTAAGCGTCGTTTTCTGGCTCCAATTCAGATCCCTCATTCTGCTAGCAAAGATACTTCATTCTGTTGGCACAGACCTAGCTTCCACCACTGACCTTTGGGCCTTCCCAGCCCAGATCCATAAAACAGTCCTGCATGAGACATTGTTGTGGGCTCTAGGCCTCCAGGAGGATTCGTGCAGGGCACTATTATGGGCTGTAGGTCTTTCAGCTGGACTCATGCAGGACACTACTGTGGGATCCAGGCCCTCAGCTGAATTCTTTGGTCTTTAGTGTATAGACAGATTTCCCACACTCTCGTTTTGTATATGATTCTTTGGGTGACTTTAAAATAATCTTATAAATATGTGTCCTGTATTATATTGTTTCTCTAGTAAAACCCCAAACTACAACAGTTAAATAGAAGAAGATGTGAAGTCAGAGCAGATTGAGGCAAAATAAATATATCCAGACATTAAGTACCTTAAATGATAAATAAGTGATAAAAATAGAATATAAGAGCAAAATCTAGAAGGGTAAGAAAACAGACTTGATAAAAATAATTGCTATCATAAAAACTAACCTTACCCTTATAAAGCCAGATATGGTAACTGCCACAAGATAAATTTTTGCAAGGTAAAATCTGTGTACAGACCATGTAATAAAATTCTCTCATATTTATTAAATAATCTCAAATGCTTCTAGAGAAAAATATTCTACTATGATAAATATTTAGAACTTTTATTACCACTGGAATTTATTGTCTTCTTTACCTTGATCAACTTTTTGTTTTGTTTCTTCTATCCTTTTTAATTCTTGCTGCTTTGCTTCTAGGAGTTGTTTTTCTTCTTTTAAAGGATCATATTTTATTCCTGTATGAAGCATAAAGAAAAAGAATCTTAATCTAAAAATACTCATCCAAAAAATATCCTTGAAAATAATTTCTAAATCAGTCTACAAAGATTTAAAATAAATGTAGTCTGAACTAACAAATACTAAAAATAAATATTAAAATACTCAAAAGATTCCCCAAAAGCACTATTGAGCAAATATATGTATAAAATATAAAGACTTTTCTATCTACAGAAGAATAATTTATTATTTTTTTCCAATACTGACAAAAAAGTCAGTATCATCATCATTAGGACATGGTCACCACTTTTCTGGATCACTTTGTGTTAGCCAACTCTTTAGTTTATACTTTATAACTCTTATTTTCTAACATGAAGTGATTTTTAAAGAAAAGTAATTTATAATTTTAAAAATTTACTTACTAGAAGAAGGCACTATGAGCAAATAAATTTCTTCCAATATAGCTTCAACTGGTTGAGTATAAAGATTTTTCCACGGAATTACAAGGTTAAGAGTACCTACATTTTTTAAAAGAAAGTACAAGGATATTACTCATTCAACCTATGTTTACCATCAATGTATTTTCTGTCAAAGAAGAGATCTTTGAAAGATCATTAAGACTAAAATACCCAACTGGGAAGGGGAAAATACATTTCTATAGAATTGCACTGCTGTACTGCTCATTTGGAAATGTGTACTTTTTTTATCCAACAAATTGTGTCCCTAACATATACTAGGTAATATGCTACGTGGTAAAAAAGATAGTAAAAATTAAGCCCACTTCTTTCCAAGAAACTAGTGTCCAATAGACAAAAATAATAAAAGACTGACAGAAAAGTATGCAAACAACACCTTAAATGATTCCCAAAATGTATAGCTCAGTGTACCTTTCCACAATTTATATTACCCTTGAAAATTACCTGATTCTCATTTTAAAACAAAAGCAGGCAGGAAAAAAATGAAGAAGGAAAGCAGGAAGGTAGGCTCTACAGTAAGTCTATCTACTCTTTTGAAACATATGTGTGCATCTGTGTGTGAGTATCCTTTTTTTTTTTTTTTTTTTTTTCTGGTGCTAAGATAGAATTTAGGGCCTCATACACCCAAAGCATGTGTTCCACCACTGCACTACAACCCCAGCCCTCTCCCAATACAGTCTTTAACTTATCATAAAATTAATTGTACCTACAATAAAATACAGTAACAATCACTGTAAAAATTCAATGACTTCTGGCAAATTTTTAAAAGTTTATGTAACTTGATTTAGTAGGGTAGTACATCTATCAGTATTAATAGGCTTAATCTGTGTACTAATATCAAGAGTACCTTTGTGTTGTTAACAATATTACTGTCTATTTCAAAGAGAACTGGGTACTGGGTCAATTATACTATATCTTCCCCTCCCAAATTAATGGAGGTGGCTGAATCTTGGCAAAGGACTATACGTATCCTTGCCCTTCAAGAGTGCATCAATGAAAAGCAGACACTAACTAAAAGGATCTCTACACTAGCAACGAAGTCTTTCCAATATAAGGTCCACAAATTTCAGCACAAAGCAAAACAGAAAAACAATGGAAACATCAGACAACAAGGCAACAAAATGCCTTCAAAAACTCTCAATTTCCCTAAACCTCATTCACAGGGAATCAAGGAGGAGGAAATCGAAAGCCATAAGCACAAATTATTCCAAAGGATAACAGAGATTAAAAAAGCATATCAATAAGGTGCTCTGTGAGTACAAAGAAGATATAACAGACAATGGATTTAATAATGATCATCACAATTAAATTAGACACTAGAGAAACTAGATAAGCTAAACAAAACCACACAAAACATAAATAACTAGTTTAGCAAAGAATTGTGAGTCCATGGAAAAGTTTCAGACAGAAATCTAGGATATTAAAAATTCTACTGAAATTATGGGCAGCAGAAGTGACCCACATGAGGACAGAGTGAAAGAACCAAAGATGGTCTCTGAAAACAATTATTCAGAGATTCTTTAAAAACAAGAAAAAAAAATATGAAAAACAGATACAACTGCCAGAAGATACAAAGAGTAAGATTAACTGAAATTAGTAAAAAATAACAACACAGCATAAAAAAGTTTACAGAAATAATAGCATATTATGTTCCAAATACAGAAAGAATTAAACATAAGTGAAAGATACAGAATTCCAAATAACCACAGTCAAAGATAAACTTCTCCATAACACATTACAGACAAAAAACTGATCCAACACATTACAGACCAAAAACATTAAAAGCTATCAGAGAAGAGCAATGAATCACTCACAAAGGTAAACACATTAGAATAACAGCAGATTTCTCAAGACACACCTTAAAGGTTTCTAAACCAGACATACAATCTGCAAAATTAGCTTTCAAAATAGATGGATAAAGTCTTTCAATGATAAAGAGCACCTTAAAAAATTCATGATAACCAAACCAGCACTACCAAAACTTTTGAAGGATATCACTGAGAAAATGAAGCCAACAATGCCAAAAAGTCTAATAGAATGAATACACCATGCAGGGTGAACAGCTGGGGAGTGAGGTTCAAAAAGATCAGCTAAAGGAAAACAATATAATGATTGGAATAAGTTAATACCTTAGAGCAGTAACATTTAATGTGAATGGGCTAAACTCCACAATAAAAAGACAGGCAGAACGGATCAAGAAACAAAATCCAATGATATGCTGTATACATGGAACACATTTAATCCAAAAGAAACACACACTACAAATCAAAGGAGGGAAAACAATATTCCACGCAATGGGAACTCCAAAACAGCAAGTGTAGCTAACCTGTTTTCAGACACAGTCAACTTCAAGCCAAAACTGATTAGAAGAGGAAAGAAGATCACCACACACTGGTTAAGGGAACAATTCAACAGGGACAGATAACATTTATAAACATATATGCACTGTCTTAGTTAGTTTTTGCTCACTGTTGAGGTAAAACACCCGACATGTAAGGTTAAAGGAGGAAAGGTTTACTCAGCTCACAGTTTGTGGAAGTTTCAGTCCATACTTGGCTGGCTCCAAGGCCAAGAGGCACATAGCAGAGGGCAATAGTTCATGGCGAAGGAAAACAGCAAAAGCAACAAAAGCAGAAAGAGGAGGAACAGAGCAAGCCTCTTTCCCTCCCTTATACTGTATGCAGGCTTCCCACCCCAGGCAGGGTGTAGCATGCACACCCATAATCCCAGCATTGGAACATGAATCCATCAAAAACTCTAGAAGCCTGCCCCATGACTGAATGAAGTTTCGGGGGGGGGACATCTAGACACAAACCATAACACAGACCAAACAACTGTGTGTCCCAAAACAAAGACCCCTGGACATAAAAAATCAGATAAATGTGAAGACAATTATATATATATCACACTCACAAATAGATGAACTCAACCAAAAAACAACCAACAAATATCAGAGTTGAACCAAACCATGCAATACATGAACTTCATAGATATCTAGAGTATTCCAACAACAGAATACAGACTCTTCTTAGCAGCACATGGCACCTTATATAAAACAGAATACATAGGGCTGGGGATTTAGCTCAGTGGCACAGCACCTCCATGGCAAGCGCAAGGTTGTGAGTTTGACTACTGGTACCAGAAAAAAAAACAAAAAAACAACAAAAAAAAAAATAAATAAAAAATAAAACAGAATACTTGCTAGTCCATGAAGCATGCTTATGTATATGCAAAAGAACTGAAATTATTCCATGCATATTATCAGATCATACTACAATGAAACTAGAAATCGATGACTAAAGAAAACACAGATAATATGTAAACACATGAAAATTAAACAATGTTATATCATCAGTGGGACACAGGGCAAATTAAGGAAGAACTTAATTCCTAGAATCAAATGATAATGCCACTACAACACACCAGAACTTTTGGGACACAAAGGAAGCAGTTCTAAAAGGGTACTTTCTAGCTGTGAACACCCACATCAGAAAAACAGAGCAAACCCAAATAAATAACATAATGATGCACCTCAACATCCTAAAAAATCAAGAACAATCTAAAACTAGTACAGGAATGAAATTATAAAGAATAAAAATTAATGAAGTTGAGACCAAAAAAATTATTTACATACATACACACACACACACATACACACACACACACACACACACACACACACACACACACACAGGGGGTAGGGGATATCAGTACACTGAAAGCCAATTTTTGGAAGAGTAAACAAAACAGAACACCCTTAGCCAGTCTTATCAAAAGAAAGAAACTAAAGACCCAAATCAATACAAGAAGAAACAAAAAAGACAAAATCACAACAGACATTTCTGAAATCCAGAAGATTAGTAACTATTTGAGAACATGTACTCCAATAAACTGGACAATTCAAAAGAAATACAGAGATTCCTAGGCATGAATTACCAAAACTGAACCAAGAAGATATAAAAATCCTGAATAATCCAATAGCAGGCAATGAAATGGAAGCTGTAACTCCTTCCAACTATGAAAAGTCCAGGACCCAATGTATTCACAGCTGAAATCTACAATAACTTAGAGAGGACCTAAAGCCAATACCCCTCAAACTCCTCAATGAAACTAAAAGGAAAGAAGTACTCCCAAAGTCATTCCTGGAAGCTACCATTACCCTGACCCAAAGCCAGAAAAAGACCCAACCAAAAAGGGAACTATAGGCCAATCACTTCAATGACATAGATATAAAAATCCTCAATAATATACAGGCAAACAGTTGTAAGGGACAATGAATCATAGCATATTATTTTAGATAAAATACTTTTAGTAAAAGCCTAAGTGGTGCCTTCGGAAGCCTCCCGGGACATTGTAAGAGCTAATCCCCTAGTCAAACTGGAATGTCTCTCTGAGACAAGGGCGCCCAGGTGTAGGTAACCCTCCGTGACACTGCCTGGGTAGTTCCACCTTCTGGCCCTAGGTAAACATGGTAACCCTAAAGGAACGCATAAGTTGTAAAAAAGGAGACAAATGGAACATAATGGGAGAAACATCTATCATGGTTAGACATGTGACCGGCAACTGACCTGGGGTCCCACAAGATAAAAGAAAAACCATATGGCCACTGGGGTCAGAGCATGTAACATCCCAATTTGTAACCATGGAAACCCAAAACCTATTTAGGATCTGAATCACAGCTCGCAGGTGCCCACTTCCCTGATTTGAAAATCAGGGATGAAGGGTGGCTAGCCTCAAATTAATAACTCTGTTTTGTTCTCAATATAGTCAGTCTCTTGCAGAATACAGACCAATTTATGCCAGGGAATTTTTGCCATTACACAGAATGCTACAAATCATCAAAAAGATCATATAATCATGATCAAGTATGCTTCATCTAGGGATGCATGGATAGTTCAACATATGCAAATCAATAAATGTGATTCTAGTTTCTTTAGTATGTGTTCTATTTTGAATAAGGTCCTATGTGCTGAAAAGAATGTTGTATGCAAGTCAATAAATCACATAAACAAAAGCAAGGACCAAAATCACATAATCACCCTAATAAATGCAGAAAAAGCCTTTGACAAAATCCAACATCCTTCATGAGAAAACTCTGAGAAAAATGGTAAGAAGGACTTTACTTGTACCTGATAAAAGCCATGTATGACAAGCCAACAGCCAACATCATATTAAATGGGGGAAAAGCTAAAAACTTTCTCTCTAAAATCAGAAACAAGTCAAGGATGTCCATTTTCACCACTCTCAGAACACCACCCACCATAATCAGGCAAGAGTAAAAACAGGTATATATAGGAAAGAAAGAAGTAAAATTATCATTATTGGTAGATGACATGATCCTCTACATACAAGGGCCAAAAGAAAATCCACCAAAACACTCATGATTAATTAAAAGTCAATATCATTCCTGTACACCAATAATGAGCTCACTGAAAAAGAAGCTAGAGAAACAATACCATTCACAATAGATCCAAAAAAAAAAAAGAAATACCAAAGACCTCCACAATGAAAACTCTGAAAAAACAGATCAAAGATGACATCAGAAAATTTAAAGATATACCTTGTTCCTAGAAAAGGAGAACCAGTATTGTCCAAATGCCCATACTTCCAAAACTGCTATATAAGTGTAATGCAATCACAGTGAAAAGGCCAATAACATTTCTCACAGAAGTAGAGAAAACAATCCTAAAATTTATACAGAGCCAGAAGACACCCAGAAGAACAAAACCGATCCTGGGAAATAACAGCAAAGGAGGAGGCATCACAATCCCAGACTTCAAATCATACTACAAAGCTACAGTGATAAAAACAGCACAGTATTGGTAAAATCAAAGACATGTGGATCAAGGGAATGGAAGAGAGGATGGACAAATAACCACAAGCACAAAGGAACCAAAAACATATTCTGGAAGAAAGATAGCCTCTTTAACAAATGGTGCTGGGAAAACTGGCTACCTAGTGGCACAAGATTGAATCTAGACCTTTTTATCTCTCATCATGTACTGAACTAAAATCAAAATGGATCAAAGATCTAAATGTTAAAACACAAACAATCTGTTGGAAGATAAAATACACAAAACTCTTGAAGATACAGGCACAGGAAAGGACTTTCTGAACAAAATCCCAATTGAACAAGAAATAGTACCAAGCAGTATCAAGAAATGGGATCATACCAAATTTTAAAATTTCTGTACAGCAAAGGAAACCAAGCAACAGGGTAAAGAGACAACCAACAGAATGGAAAAAAATTGTGCATGCTATTCCTTGGACCAAGGACTAAAAATTTATAATATATAAACAACAAATTAGACCTTGCCCCAAGAAAAGATTCAAAAAATGTGTAGCTGAAATGAATCGGTATGTCTCAGAAGAAGTACAAGTGACAAATACAGGAAAAAAAAAATACTCAACATCTCTGATAATTAGAGAAATGCAAATTAAAACATTAAAATTCAACCTTACTCCAGGTAGAATTGCTATCATCAATCAATAACAAATGCTAGTATGGATGTTGGGAGAAAGAAATCCTCCTATTATGTAAACTAGTACAACCACTATGGAAATCAATATGGAGCTTTCTCAAAAAATTAAAACTAGAAATTCCATTTGACACACCTTTTCCCCTTTTAGGTATCTTCCTAAAAGGGTTAGAGACATCCTACTATAGTGATACATGCATACCCATGTTTATAGCAGCATAATTTATAATAGCTCAATCATGGGAGCAGCCTATATGCACATCAGCAGACAAATGGATTAAAAAAAATACGGCATTTATACACAATGGATGAAAACGTTTTGTAGCATACGGTTTAATACCAACTATTAGTACAGTATATAAAATTATAAAGAGCTTCATCACAAGATTTAGGTAAGCTTTTAGAATACCAATGTCCCAATGGCACCATTATATTGCTAGCTTCAATAATCTACAAATCTGACTAGAAAACACAAAATATTTCAAAATCTCAGCTAAGCATCATCTTCCCTGATATTTGAAACAATAAAACTATAAAAAGCTTAGAATGCTGACAGGTTTTAAATATACCAAAATCTCACATTCAATCAGTTTCTGTCCAGTCAATATACATAAAGTATAAACCATAAACACAGAGAAAGTAACACAAAGCAAAAAACAGCAAGTGACTTCTGGAAAACCAGAAAAACTTCCAGAGCAGACACAAGTTTTCAGACTGACTCCTGGCCACAGTGCCCAGATAGTCCAGACCATGCTCTTTATGCCACATGTCTGGTACCAATCAAAACTGCAATGGTAAGTAATCTGAAACCTACAAAATTGAGACTGGTAAGGCCTGTGTTAGGTATAATGCTTTGGTACTCAACTCAATTTTAACATTTAATGAGATGTGTCATTATTTCATCACACAGGTATCAGGTGTTGTTGGGCAAGGACTATATGAACCTCACAATATTTTTTAAGTTACACAAGCTCTATCTAAGATGAACACAATTACTGTATTTTAAATTAAGGCTGAGAACCATTAAAAAGTTTATATTATAAAGATTATCCTGGTTGCATGTCCAGCAAGAACATTCCAGAAGTATAGCTTACCTATATGACCAACTTTAACTTTAAATGGCACATCCAGCTGACTCTACAATAAAAAAGTAAATAAATATGTAAAGCATTAGTATATATAAAATTGAGCAACACATGACTACTTTTTTCTTCCCAAAATTACCTGAAGGGTTTTTAAATTACCTTACACATTCTTCAATACTTACTCAAATTTATAAGAATTTAACTGCAGTATTCTCAAGTCAATAAAATTCAAAAACTTCTCTTTTTAAAATGGAAGGTCTACATTAATACTGATCAAAAAAACCTATCCATATGAGAATTATTACCATCTTTATTTTTTTTTAAAGAGAAGAGGTGAGAAATTCTGTCAGTTTCTGTTTCTAAAGGAATTAAAACTTTTATTTTGTAAATTTCAGTTTGAAAAAAAGAATTTTTTAAAAACTATTTCTCTCCATTCAAGGTCAAAAAGGGCAGCCTTTACAATAAACAGTGCTAGGAAAAGTAGACATCAGTTGCGTAAGTTGCATCACTTGCAAAGATAAGAGGTTGAACCTATATCTTATACCATCTGTAAAAATTAAAGGTGGGCACGGTGGCGCACACCTATAATCTCCATACACTACAAGGCTTAGGCAGAAGAATCACAAGTTTGAGCTCAGCCAGGGCAAGTTAATGACTTAGCTATATCCTGCCTCAAAATAATCAAAAGGGCTGGGTTTAACCCCTAGTACCACAAAAAACTCAAAATGGTTACAAAACTACAAAAAAGAGCTAAAACCATAAAACAGAGGAAAACATAAAAAGAAATCTTCATAACATCAAATTTAGTAATTATTTCTTGGAAATGATAACAAAAGCTAGGCAATTTCAAAAAGTAGATGAATTGCCCTTTATAAAATTATAAATGTTTATGTAATTATTTATATAGTTAAAAATTGTGTGCATAAAATGACACTATCAAAAGTGAGTAAAAGAAACTTTTGAAACAGGGAAAAAACATTTGCAAATCATATATGTGGTGAAGTATCAATATGCTGAATACACACAAAGCTCCAAAAATTCAACCACACAACAAAACCTGATTTAAAAATGTCAAAGGACTTAAAAAACATTTCTGCAAAGAGCATACAGAACTGGCAATAAGCATGTCAAAAGATACCCAACATCACCAGTCATTAGGCAAATGTCACTAGCATTTAGGGTAATACTAATCAAAATCAGATAACATTTCCCACTCATGAGAATAGTGGTTACCAAATAAAAGCAAAAGATAACAAATGTTGGAAGATTTGGAGAATATAAAGAAATCAGAACCCTTGTGCACTGCTGGAAAGAACATAAAAGGAGGTAATGCTATGGAAAAACTTGTGATTCCTGAAAAAGTTAAATATAGAGTTATCATGTAATTGAGTAACTCTATTTGTAGTTTTGTAACCAAAGGAAACGAAAGTAGGGTCTGAAACATATTCAGCACACTAATACTCACCGCAGCATTACTGACAAGAGCCAAAAGGCAGGAAGAGCTGAAGTGTATGTGAAAAGCTGAATGAGGAAACACAATGCACTATATATACACAGTGAAATATTAGTCAGCCATTAAAAAGAAAGATTTAATATGTGCTACTGATAATATGCAAATTTGTGTGGGCAAGAAAAGGGGACTGAAAATTTCAGTTTGCAATAAAGAAAAATGCCCAGGGTCTATGAAGAAATAAAATGGAAACATTATAGAGGTTCTCTTGGAGATGTGAAAAAGTTATAAAAGTCAGTACTGTGAGGATTACACGAAGTTGTGGATCAATTCATGAAACTGAATTGAACATGTCAAAATGGTGTTAAGCAACAAAATTTGAAAACAACTAGAGGCTAAGCTAATCACTAAAAATAAATCCATACAGAAATAAATAAAACTACCATAAATATTTTTAAACAGGAAAAAATATACTGTGAAACTATGCTTCTAAGGAAATTAAGCTCAATTTTCAAAATTCACATTTTATAAAGTAACTTCTAAAAAATTTTCTCAAACTTAAATAATTTAAGGTGGAAAACTGCATCAGGAGAAAGCATCCATAGTCAACTGTACTAACATTACAAATTCTCATAGTCAAAACCTACCAAAGCATTTTCTTTAATTTCAAGATTCTTGAGGGCCACAGCTCCTAAAAAAGATAATAAAAATAAACTTGAAACACTCAAACATTTTCATCTTAAAAAGTTAAATACATTTCATTCCTAAGTATAATACTAGGCATATTCACAAATAACGTATGTAACAGGAAACAGAATTTACCTATTTCTGCATAGTATACCATGAATGTTTAACCAAAATATCACTTATTGGAATTTTTTATTTCTGCAGTTATAATTCAGTATCAATGCATACACACATTTTAATTAGAATTATGTCAGTAATATGAATCTAGAAAAGTGGCGTGATATAAAATCAACAAGCAAAAAAACTGTGTAAGAACTGACAAATGGTTCACATTAAATTTAAAAACTTCTATACAGCAAAAGAAACAGAGTGAATAGACAACTGACAAAACAGAATAAAATCTTTGCCAACTACTTATCTGATAGTGGATTAATATTCAGAATATATAAAAAACTCAAAAAACTTCATAACATTGGTAACCCAATTTAAAAATTTGCAAATGAACAGAACAGACACTTCTCAAAAGAAGTACAAATGCCAATAAATATATGAAAAAATGCTCAATACCTTTAACCATCAGGGAAATGCATATCAAAGCTACATTGAGATTTCTCACCCCAGTGGCCATTCTCCAAAACAAAACAAAATACAAATGCTACCAAAGATGTAGAGAAAAAGAAACCTTTACATACTCTTGGTGGAAACGTAAATTAATACAACCCCCACTGAGAATAGTAGTATGGCAAGTCCTCAGAAAATGAAAACAGAGCTACCATATTATTATAGGCAGCTGAATTAGATAGAAATTAATACACAGAGCCAGGTGTGGTGGGGCTTGCCTATAATCCCAGCACTTGGGAGGCTGAGGCAGAAGGATCATTGTGAGTTCAAGACCAGCCCGGGCTACAAAGTGAGCTCAAGGCCAGCCTGAACTGCATAGCAAGACCCTGCCTCAAAAACACCAAAAAACAAAAATAAAACCAAAAAAGAAATTAATACACTGAGCAGGATTGGGCCCTCAAAATATCAGCACAAAAATAAAGACAGCAGAATTGTGGCTGGAGGGACAAGATGGAGATGCAATGGCCAGGCTTGCATGCCTCCCTAAAGGATAAACAGCAACTTGAGATTACACTGTAATTACCACCACTTGGTCCAGTAAGTCCAGTTGGGAATCAGATGCCCAGACCATTTGGATGACCAGCATCTCGACCCATCCCTTCCCCAAAATGCCTTTATTCTTTCGATATAATGACTCTTTTCCCTATTGGATCAACATTACCTAAGCAGCTATACTTTTAATCCCATACTACAGGGTGACTATGGTTTGACCCACACTGTACCTCCATTATGACTTTGCCGTATAAATTACCCCTGACAAAGGGCCTTGATGGCCAGCTCATTCCAGACCCCTCCTAAAAATCCAGGACCTATTATTCTTTCCCTTATTTCCAATGAAACTCCCATAACTTCTTTCTCTGGTTCAAGACTTCATTCCTCAATATTGTGGAACCATGAACTCAGCACGTATGACATCTAACAGTTCAGGAGATAGATTTCTCTGACATTAGTATGATCCACCTATATCACACCTGGGTGGTAGCGAAAAGAAATGAAGCCAGCATGCAAAAGAGAAACCTGCACACCCATATTTATTGCTGCACTGTTTTCAATAGCCAAGAAATGAATCAGTCAAGCGCCCCTTAAAAGAAAAACGAAGAAAATATGGTATATATACAATGAAGTACTATCCAACCATAAAGAATGAAATCATGTCATTTGCAGAAAAACAGATGGAACCAGAGGACATCATGTTAAATGAAATAGCCAGACATAGCAAAAACTTAAAAAATAAGATAAAACAAAATAACCTGAAGAGGAAAGGGAACAAAAGGAGAGGAGAGAAAGGAGACAGTATGGGAGGGCAGAGGGAGGGTAGGCATATCAAGGCACAACACAGGGATGCATGGAAATATCACAGTGAATATAATTATAATATTAAAAATTAGTTATTTTGCTCATGGAAGTTTGATGGTACATACACATGCCAAAACATATGAAATTATAAACTTTAAATGAAAAACTAAATACTATAGATTTTTATAATATCAATTATACCTCAATAAGGCTATTCTTATATAGTAGAATCTCTAGATAGTAAGCACATGGCTGTGAACTATAAAAACTCAACATTATTTCTCAAAGGGAAGGTACACCTGGGATGAGGGAAAGGAGAAAAAAAAGAAAGGGAAAAAACATATGTATATACAAGGATAGCTGTGATAAGTGAACCGCTAATATCTATTGGTTTATTGAAAGGAACAATTAATGTTTAAATCTCTTTTTTTGACCAATTTTGCATGCTCTGAACAACTAATCTAAGACAACAATATGCAATGTAACAGCCATTGTTGAATTCCTACCATCTTGATTAGTGAAACTCTGTATCATTTCTAATTTTTTAAATTATTTTTTATTCTCTTTAATTGTTTGATCAATCTTGCATTCTTACATGTAATCTGAGCAACTCTGTTGAAGATAACAATATGTAATATAACAACCATTGCTAATTTCCCATCATCTTGTTTTAAAATTCTGTATCATTTTTATTGTTTTTGCTTTGTTTTTATCTTTGTTGCTAGTTTTCTCTTTAAAATAAAGAAACTCTTAACATTGATGTACATTTTAACCATTTTCATAATAAAATGTTTCATCAGCTGAAAAGGTCTGAGTGCACATTAGAATATGGACGTAATAATAATAGTTAAGGCACTAGGATTTTATTAGCCCAAGAGTGCAAGAAAAAAATTTGTTGAGTTCTCAAGTGTACTCCTTCCACAAAAGAATGACTCCTTAAAATCAGGAACTGTGCTGACTGATTCTTCATCTTCTTGTATAGCCTCTGGTATAACAAGGGTTTATAGTAAATGGCTACTGAACACAAATCTCTTAAAAAGAAAACAACTAGAAGATTAGTATTTTAAAACCAGAATAAACAAGTTTAAACAAGAACTCTAATGCTACACAAAGATGTCATAACAAAAAGTAAAAATTTTCCAAATGATATAATTTTGAAGAAACCAAACAAGACAGAGTAAATCAGAGAGGATTATAAATTAGAGGTATTTTTGTGTTGCAAATAATAACTCTATCATACAGACATTCTTTGGAGAAGAAAGGTCTAATAAGACGAATATAGGGGCTGGGGATATAGCTCAGCGGCACAAGCACTTGCTTGGCAAGCCTGATGTCATGAGTTTGATTTCTGGTATCAAAAAAAAGAAAAAAGAAAAGACGAATGCACCACAGAGGGTAAGCAGTTAAGTAGGAGGAAAAGAAAGGCAATCAGCAACAGGAAAATAATTCAATGACAGCGATAAGCCAATACAGAGTACCTATCAGTAATAATGCTCAATGTGAGTAGGCTAAACTCTCCAGTGATGGCGAGACTTTTCGAGCTTTCAAAGATACAAACAGCCTGCTGCAGCATATGTGCCAGAGGTTCCCCACCACTGCCCCATCCAAAACAGATTAGCAGAATGTATCAATAAAACAAAATCCAACAGTACTCTGTGTACAAGAAACACATTTAACCCAAAAAGAAATTCATGGACTAAAATGCAGAGGATGGAAAATAATATTCATGCAATGGAAACCCCAAAACAATAAGTACAGCTATCCTACTTTGAGACAGAGAACTTCTACCCAAAACTGAACAGAAAAGGCAAAGCAGGTCACTACATATTGGCCAAGGGAACAATTCAACAGGAAGAGATAACAATTATTAACACAGAGTCCACCAAAAACATGTATACACACTTCAGAAAGAAAAATTTGTAAAGTATTTTAATATTAAATTTATTGAGATTTCATGAGATTAATGCAAGTTACCTTCAGCCTCTACAATTACAAGAGGTGCTCAAAGTGATGTCTATTATCTTCCTGATATTTATTAGTACAGGGAACTGCTGCTTAGGTAACCTTGGTCATTGAGACTGCTGCACATGCATTTCCAACTTTTCTAAGGGCTGGCAATGTAATGGGTTTTCTGCAATATATGACATTCTCTAGGGTCCTGTTGAAAAAACATCATACCATCTTTCTTTTCCTGAAGTGAAAGACTCTATATATGCAACAAATAATGGCATGTTCAGCTTCATAAAACAAGTACTACTGGAAATAAAAGATCAGAAAACACAAAAACAATTATAGTGTGGGATCTCAATAACCTACTCTCACAAATAGATCAGCTAGACAAAATACTATCAACAAAGTAGTATCAGAGTTGAAAAAAACTTTCAAACAAACAGATATAATAAATATCTACACAGTTCCATCCAACAACAGAATATATATTCTTCTCAGCAGCATATGGGAGTTTCTCCAAAACAGGCACATACTAGCCAATATAGCATGTTAAATAAATGCAAAAGAATCAAAATTATATCAGGCATATTATCAGCTCGTAGCACAATGAGATTAGATATCAATGGCAAAAGAAAACACAGAAATGAGAGAAATGATACAAATTAAATACCCTCTTAAATAATTAATAGATCATAAAGGAATCAAGGAAAAAATTAGTTCTTAGAATCAAACATTAATGTTTGATTAATACAGAACTAATACAACATACAGAAATCTATGAGACACAGTGAAAGCAATCCTAACAAGAAAGTTTATAGGTATGAATGTCCACATCAGAAAAATAGAGTGAGCCTAAATAAATAACCTAATGATGCACCTCAAGGTCCTAGAAAAATAAGAACAATTCAGACCCAAAGCTAGTATAGTAAAGAACTAATAAAGATCAGAATAAAACTCAATGAAATTGAGGCAAAAAAAAGAAAAAAAAAAATCAGTGAGAGCTGGTCTTTCCAAAGAATATGCAAAATAGAAAAACTCTTAGCCAATTTTACTATAAAAGGGAAAGAAAATATCCAAATCAATGCCATTTGAAATGGAAAAAGTGAAATCACAACGGACACTGCTGAAAACCAGAGA